ATTAGAGTGGAATCACAACTTACAGAACGGGGGAACTATTTACAAACCATGTGCCTGATAAGGGGTCAGTTCTCAAAATATATAAGAAATGCTTACAACCCAATAGCAAAAGAACTAATAACCAGATTTAAAAAATGGACGAAGCACTTGAATCGACATTTTCCCAAAGGTTACACATAGCCAACAGAGAGGACAAGATGCTCCATGTCACTAATCATCAGAGGAATGCAAAACACAAAGCTATGAGATATCACCTCATACCTGTTAGGATGGCATATGTATATATGACAACACGTGTTAGAAAGGATGTGAAGAAATGGGAACTCTTATACATTGTTAGCGGCAATGCAAAATGGTGCACCTGCTATGAAAAACAGTATGGAGGTTCCTCAAACCATTAAAAATAGAACCACCAGATGACCCGGCAATGCCACTGCTGTGTATTTATTCAGAAGAATCGAAATCAAGATCTTGAAGAGGTATTAGCAGTCCCATGTTCATCGCAGCATGACTCACAGTAGCCAAGATCTGGAAACGAGCTAAGTGTTGAAATAAGCCAGTCACAGGACCAACACTGCATATTTCCACTTCCATGAAGTATCTAAACAGTCAAGCTCACAGCAGCAAAGAACAGAGTGGTGGTTGCCATAGGTCTGGGAGGAGGGGGAAGTAGGGAATTGCTAATCCCTGGGTTCAAAGTTTCAGTTATGCAAGATGAGTAAGTTCTAGAGATCTGCACAACATTGCGCCTATAGATAACAATACTGTTTTGTACACTTAACAATCTGTTCAGAGGGTGGATTGCATGCTAAGGGTTCTTACCACCATAAAAATTTAAAAACATTATAAAAATTAAAAAGGGCTCATGAGGCGAACACGAGCTGTAAGCAGGAGGACAGGAGACGCCTGCAGCTTCGGGTCGTCAATAACACTCTTCAATCACTTTGAAAACCATCTTGGCAGAAACCACTGGCTCTTAAACAATAAAAGGACTCATTGAAAAGTATTCCTCTCTGCCCCTCAAAGAAGCATCTCTGATTGGCAAATGCTATTTATGGCAAAAACAGAATCGATTCCACAGAGATCGATTCGGCCCCCGCCACGCAGCAGGCGCTGGGCTGTGGACTGAGAATAGAAGGAGAGCAGCTGCTCTGCTCACCAGGCAGGGAAGCGGGGCCGGTAGGAGGAGGGACTCGGCTGGCGCTCAGACCTGGATTCCAACGCGGACGCTGCTGCCTGCTGGCCGCGTGGCCCTGACGAGCTGCCTGGCCTCTTTGTTCTCTAGAAAAAGGGGATGATAATGCTCGGGTGCTGTCTGAGTTAAAAGGGAAAAGAATGCACGCCATGCTTTGGACCGAGCTGCGGACTGTGCTGTTACCGGCACTAAATACCACCTACTCCAAGGCCACGTGGAAGGATGGAGCTGTGAGGATGTGCCAGGAGTGCACTGGCGCAGGGAGGCAGGGAGGTGGGTCTGGGCCCACGCCAAGAGGACCTGGACTGAGCAGGACTCTGGGGTGCAGCCATGGGCACGTCTTGTTGGGGGGCTTGGAGCATGGCCAGGATGCTCCTTAGTGGGAAGTTGGAACTGTGAGCCTGGGGATGGTTCTGGAGTCGGGAGGCCCCCAGGGCAGGCTGGGCCGGATGATTTGGGCCCAGCCGCCTGCAGGGCCCAGGGAAAAAGCCTAAAATTTTCCAGCAAGGGGAAAGGCAGCAGCAGTGCCTTTGGCTTCCAGAAACTTCTTAGAGCTGGCTTAACCTGCTGTGGGTGAGGACTGGGGATGAGTATGTGTGTGATAAGGTAGGGGAGGCAGCAGGTGACTAAGAATTCAAGTGTCTGTCTCCTGAATTCTGGGAAGGGCACGGGCTCTCCAAAGGGGCTGATAAGATCCCCAGGGCGCACCTTTCTTTCCCAATCTTCTCTTTCAGGGACGCTGAGTTCTCTATGGGAAAGAGCCCTGGATTGGGAGCTCCCGAGCTCTGGGTGAGGTGTAGCCTAGACCCGTGGTCGGCAAACTGCGGCTCGCGAGCCACATGTGGCTCTTTGGCCCCTTGAGTGTGGCTCTTCCTAAGCCTTAGGAGTACCCTAATTAAGTTAATAACAATGTACCTACCTATATAGTTTAATTTTAAAAAATTTGGCTCTCAAAAGAAATTTCAATCGTTGTCCTGTTGATATTTGGCTCTGTTGACTAATGAGTTTGCCGACCACTGATCTAGACTGACTGTGTGTCCCTCAAAGGGCATTCAGCCTTTGTGCCCCTTTAAGATGGGGCGTGTGCCCAGGCCCTAAGTCAGACTGGAGGACCCCAGACTCTAGGGCAGCGGTTCTCAACCTGTGGGTCGCGACCCCTTTGGGGGTCGAACGACCCTTTCACAGGGGTCGCCTAAGACCATCGGAAAACACATATATAATTACATATTGTTTTTGTGATTAATCACTATGCTTTAATTATGTTCAATTTGCAACAATGAAAACACATCCTGCATATTAGATATTTACATGACGATTCATAACAGTAGCAAAATTACAGTTATGAAGTAGCAATGAAAATAATTTTATGGTTGGGGGTCACCACAACATGAGGAATTGTATTAAAGGGTCGAGGCATTAGGAAGGTTGAGAACCACTGCTCTAGGGAGCCGTCCTACCCTAGAGCAAGTCCCTGGGGCATTTCTTCCACATTCCAACCTAGTTGCCCCAGGGTACTTAGCACCTTCTCCATCTCTGTCTTCCTCCCCAAACCTGTAGGTAGAGCAGCGTGACCCTTCTCCACAAACGAGGAACAGGCTCAGAGCAGGCGAGCTCTCCCCCAAGATGGCACAGCTAAGCAATGCAAGAGGCAGGATTGGAACCCAGGGCTAAGCTCCTGAACCGCCTCACTACGGGGCCTCGAGCGGTGGCGTGGAACATGGGGCTCTGGTTTCCTCTTTGACAGAACGGTGGGAGCCACAGATGGTTTATTTACTCCTCGTGTTTACCACGAAGCACGGCAGAGGTCGGGGATCGTGACACCTTCCCACGGAGTCCAGTGCATCAAACCAGTGGGCGCTAGGGGAGGGTCCTTGTTTCTTGTCGGCGCAGCCCTCCTGGCACCTTCCGGACCTCACACCAGCGTGTGCGCACTGCCACAGGCCGTGTCAGAGTGTCCCGGCAGCCGGGGCAGTGCTCAGCCCTGCTTCCTGCTCGGGGAGCAGGTGACGGCGATGCCGGGAGGTGCCCGGATCACGCAGAGGGAACGTGTGGGGACAATCCAGGTCACTGCCCTAGAAAGTGCTGCCTTCTGCCTTCAGGTGGGTTGTCAGGGGCTCAGGGCAACTCAGGCCAGGACGGGAGGGCCCCTGGAGGCCACCTGGGCCAGCGTCCTGCCTCCTGCCTTCACATCATCCCCAAAGAGGTACGGGACACAGAGCTGCATTCTGAGCTTCACACACTTTGTGAGTGAAAGACAGTCGGAGAGACCATCGTGTGAGCCTGAGAAACCATCTGAATCCGAGAGCGTGTGTTAGGAGAAGGTCTGGCTCTGTGGCCGGGCGGAGGCTTGCGGGCTTACGAAGCGCCCAGGAGGGCCTGCGCTCTGCTTCCCCGGCAGCCACGCAGCCTGGAAAAGCACCCTGTTCCCCAGAAACGATGCTTCAGGAACATTTGCAGGTACCCTCCCCCCCCCCCGCCCCTTCCCCTCAACGGCTCTACTATCCTTCCTTCAAAAACACAGACCTGTCCCTTGGCCCCACACGTCTCCTGCAGCTGACAAGTGCCTTCCACAGAAACACTTCTCCAAAGACTAGTCCACACTCAGGCCCCACACTCCACCGGCTCCTGAGCGGGGCCCCGTGTGGCTCCCGTGCTCACCCCACTGACACCGCGGCCCCCTGACCTCCTTGTTGCTAAACTCAGGCCACTTCTCTGGGGTTTTATCGGTTCCCCAGAGGCCACTCCTCCTTGGGTCCTGGGACCTGCTGCTGGGGTGGGGGGTGGGGGGGGGTACGGCACATGTGAGGTAGGCTGCCCTGCTCCCAGGAAAGAGTGCTGCGATGATCCTCACGCTCTCCTGGAACCTTCTCTGCCTCGGGTCACTCCCCCTCTCCCCCCGCCCCTTGCTGGCTCCTGTCCTCCCCTCCACCTGCACCCTCTCCCTGGGTGACCCCATCGAGTCTCCAGCCCTAAGCACCAGGTACACATCAACATGACGCTCAATCCGTGTCCCCAGGATGACCTTCTCCTTATCTTCAGACACTTCCACCTGAGCAACCACATGACGGTGCCCTGGGGACGACCAGCAGGTCACCCAAACATAAAACCGGCTCCTGGTGTCCACCCCTCCTCCCCCCACTTCTCTTCCGGACTCCCCATCCTGACCACGGAGCCCCCAGCACTTTCTCCCTTCTCTGTAGCTCGTGTCTGCAGGTTCTGTTGGAACTAACTCAAAAAGTATAACTGGGCTGCAAACCGTCCTTCCATCCTCATTTTCTCAGCGTTGCTCCCAGCCCCCAACCTCTCCCTGGAGATCCAGCGGCCCCCTCAGCCCCCAGCCCACATGTGCCACTGCCAATTCTGTGCGGACAGCAGCTAGGGCGACCTTCTAAAGGGGCAATCGTGCCTGGTCCAGAAAGTACCCCACTGACCTCTTGCTTCTCAAAAGTTCTGGCTTGTTCTTCTTTCTTTCTTTTTCAGAAGCAAATCTTTTTTTTTTAAAAAAAATAAGTAATTCAATGGGAACCGACCCAGGCCCAAGATCCATTCATTCAAATAATAATACTCACTGCAGGCAGCGTCCTCAGTGAGGAGTTCCTGCAGCCTGAGTCAGCAATGCTTTCTTTGGGGGCCATTTACCTTTATATGTAAACGCAATCAATAAAGACCTGGCTTTGGTAAACAGCAGGGGGAGGGGACGGTTCTCTTTACCAAGGATAATCGCTTTATAACTGGTCCCCCGCCATGGCTCTCCTGGTGCCCCAGGCGGAGTTTCCATCACAGACATCGCATGCTCAGGCCTTACCTCCCGGAGGCAGGTGTAGATGGGGCAGACCAGCACGCGGAAGGGCTCGCCCGTGCTGCTGCGCATGGTGCCGAACACCTCGCACAGGAAGGTGATGAAGCCCAGCCAGCGCTCCACGTCCTGCTGCTGCAGCGCCTCCCGCACTGTGAAGTCCTTCTGCGGAGGAACGAGAGACATGAGTCAGCCTTGCGGGGCCGGGTACCACCCCCTCTGCTGCCTGCTCTGCTGCGGGGCCTGCCGTCTAAGGGCTGGTCCTCGCGTTTTCAAGGACGGGAATGGGTGAGCAGTGCCACAGCACCTGTTCTTCAGGGTCCCCAGGTCAGCCATTCAACTCCCTGTGCCTAAGCGCTCTCCCTTTGCTAACCCCCAAATCATGCCCCCCACGCGAGGGAGGGAAATTAGAACACTGCCCGGTGCATATCAGCAGGGGTCTACGGAGACCCAGCACTGGGGCAGAGACACAGCTACAGCCCCTGCCTGCAAGGGGCCTAGAGGATAATGAAAAAATTAGTCATTCATTCATTCTTTTCTTTTTAAAAAAAATATTTTTATTGATTTCAGAGAGGAAGGGAGAGGGAGATAGAAACATCAATGGGGAGAGAGAATCATTGATCGGCTGCCTCCTGTATGCCCCTGACTGGGGATCGAGCCCACAACCTGGGCATGTGCCTTTGACCAGAATCAAACCCGGGACCCTTCAGTCCACAGGCCGATGCTCTATCTATTGAGCCAAACCACTAGGGCCATTCATTCATTCTTAAAAGTATTATTGCCCGACTGAGTGCCAGCCATTGCATTAAGGCTAAGATAAGACATGTTAACTCGTAGCTACGATACAAGAAAAGGTCTTAAAAGCCACTGGGGATTCCAGGTAGAGGGATGTTGGGAGCTCACATTTACTTAGCAAGAGAATTTTCATTTTAATTTCAAAGAGAAGAAAAAATTCTACAAATAGCTGTGAAGGAAAAAAAAATAACCCCTAGATTTCTCACAAAGGCACAACAACATTGTTGACCATTTACTTGTACATTTAATGTTAAAATTCAGAGACACTGAGGCAACATCTTCATATGCTTGAGGATAAAAGAACACACCCAGCTATGAGTGAAAGCAAGAGAAAGAATCTTACATAGCAGATGTTTGGGGAAAAAAAAATCCCACCCATGTGCTTGTCTTAAAAAACCCCCCAAAAAACCTAAAGGATACAGCTGCCATGGAAAACAGTATGGCAATCCTCAAAAATTAAAAATATAATCACAATACGACCCCACAATTCCTCTTCTGGATATATATAAAAAAAACCCCGAAAGCAGGATATTTGCATACCCATGTTCACAGCAGCACTTTCAACATGAGCCAAGAGGTGGAAGCAACCCAAGTGTCTATCAATGGATGAGTGATAGAAAGTGGTCTATGCAGACAATGGAATATTACTCAGCCTTGAAAAGGAAGGAAAGGCTGACACATGCTACAACACGGGTGAACCATGAGGACATTAGGCTCAGTGAATAAGCCAGTCACAGAACATTGTATGTTCCAGTAGGTACCGAGTAGAAACAGAAAGAATGGTGGTTGCCAGGGCTGGGGGCAAGGGGCTACGGGGAGTTGTTTAATGGGTTAAAGTTTCTATTTTGGGCAAGTTGAAAAAGTTTTGCAGATGAGTTGCATAGCAATGTGACTTATACTTAACATGAATGAATTGTACACTTGTAAATGGTTGAGATATGGTATATTTTATGTTATGTGTTTTTTCTTTTTACCACAATGAAAAATAATACACAAACTGAGATGTGCTGTAAGGTATAAAATTGGCACTAGTTTTTGAAGACTTAGTATAAAAAAAAGAATGTAAAATGTCTCATATTTCAAAATATTTATTACATGCTAAAATTTGGATATATGGAGTAAAGTAAAATATACTATTGAATTTAGCACATACTACTGATAAAGCCAGAAATTATATATAAAATCAAGAACTAGAAATAAATTTAGAAATACCAACAAAATTGAAAGTAGATATGGAGTAGATAAAAAGAGAGATAAAAGCTATTTATAACACTATGCTGATGATTTCGGAAAAAATGATGAAATAGGTGATTTAAAAAAAGAAATATACCAAACTTTATTAAAAAAAAATAGAAATAAAAAGTTGGAAAAGACTAAAGGTCATAAAACAAAATAAAAAGTTCTGAAAGAATTAAGAGGTGTCTACATTTATGATTTTTTTAGGTAAGTTATTCAAACTTTAAAACAATTAGATAACTACTCTGCTCTGCAAATTGATCCAGAACATAGAAAAAGATAAGCTTTTCCAGTTCCCTATTACCCAAATCTCATAATGATAGTAAATTTCAAACAAGGAAGTCTATGGCTAATTTCTCTAATGTGAATAGATGTGAAAGTACTAAATGAAATACCAGCAAATAGATCCACAATAACCAAGTAGATTTTATCCCAGAAAGGCAAAGATGAGTTAGTATCAGGAAACCTGCCAACATAATATAGTACATCAATGGGCCTGATTAAAAAAACAGCAAAACATCCATGACTCTTGGAAGGAAGAAGATAAAATGATTTACTAGTAACATAATTACATATATGCAAAACCCAAGAGAATCCTATATAATAAAGAGCTAATATGCTAATTAGACCGGACGGCGGACCGACCGTCCGTCCGGATGACCTTTTGGACGAAGCTGGGGCTGCAAGGGCTGAGCTCCTTGAACGAATTTCGTGCATTGGGCCTCTAGTTCTCTAAAGATTAGAATTAATAAGAGAGTTTACGAACTAACTCTCTAATAAAGATTAGAATTAATAAGAGAGTTTACGAACTAACTTATGAACTAGTGCTGTATTTAAATGCATAATTAATAAACAGAAGCCTACAGTTTTTCTATGATAGGATTAATCAGTGAGATAATTTAATGCACAAAAGCTCATTAAGTAAAACAATATAAATTCTTAAGTGACATTAAGGAATGTACAAGATTTCTATGAAGAAAACTGCAAATTGAACTGAGATTTAAGAGAAAGTCTGAAAACAAGGGAAGATACACAGTGTTCCTTAGTGGGTGGACAGCATTGCAAAGACGGTAATTCTCCGCAAAGTGGTTCACAGGTTCAGCACCAATTTGTACTCTATATTCCAATGGGAACATTGGAGGGTAAGGGGGAATGGAGACTTGAAAAAAATTATCCTGAAAGTACTTTGAGAGAATAACAGGGGAGATAGCTAAAAACAAAACAAAACAAACAAAACTATAAGGAGCTGTATTTCTTTTCACCTATCCAAAACTTTAATAATTAAAAGGGTATGGAACTGACCTAAGAATGGACAGCTACATCGGACAGCCTAGAAACAAATTCGGCACCCATCGGGTTCATCACATGGTCCCCGAAGAACCACAAATCAGTGGCAAAGGAAGCATTATTCACTGAAGCCACGGCGCAGAGACAGCGGTCTAAGTGTGAGAGGGTGGGGGGAGAGGATAATTTAGAGTCTCCCTTCACACTGGGCCCTAAGATGAATTCCAGATGGAATAAAGAGGTAAATGTGTGTGTTTTTTTGTTTTTTTTTTAAAGGACAAACCATAAGAACTTGAAGAAAATGAAATTGAGTATTTGTCAAATTTCTGGATAAAGAAGGGCTTTCTATATATTAACACAACAGAGGAATGCAACAAAATAGTATAAACACTCTTAGAAGGCAATAATATTCTGGGAAAAATATCTGCAATAAATGTGACAAAGGGTAAGGGTAAAGGGCATTAAAAGGTAATTCAAATGTCAAAAAATTAATTAAATCTCAGTAGCAATTGAATGAAAGTCACCCCTGCCCCGCCCCCCACACACACACACCGGCCCCTTGTATTAGAAAAGCTGAAAACTGATCATTGCCAATGCTGGAAGGATGCAGCGAGACAGGAACTCTTGTGGATGGGGAGTGTCAATCAGTAGCGCTTTCACAAAAAATCTTAAAATAAGCTTTAAAGGTGTTCTTATTGTTTGACCCAGTAATTGCACTTCTGGGTAATTAGCACAAGGAAATAATTAAAAATAACAGGAAAAATAAGCTTAATGCACACAAGAATTCAACCACGTAAGTGTCCAACAATAGAGGAGTGATAAATTAAATGATGATTCATGCACCCATCAAACATTATGTTTATGGCCCTGGCTAGTGTGGCTCAGTTGATTGAAGCATCATCCTGCACAACAAAAGGTAGGGTTCGGTTCCTGGTCAGGGCACATATCCAGGTTACAGGTTTGATCCCCAGTTAGGGGTGCATGCAGAGGGGGCAACTGATTGATGTTTCTCTCTCACATCAATGTCTCTCTCTCTCACCCCTTCCTCTCTTTAAAAATCAAAAAACATTAAAAATTATGTTTATGAAAAGTTTATAACAGCATGGGAAATGGCTATCGAATGAATGACAAGTAAAAAAGAGAAAGCAAAGGCAAAATGGTATGTACTATATAATCTTATCCATGAATACATTTTTGAAAAAAGAGGAGGAATATCAAGTGTTAACAGTAGTGGTTTCACAATAGTGGAATTGTGAATGATCCTTATTTTTTAACTTTTCATTATTTTCTGCATTTCTTTGCTCTTCTGTGAATGTATCTCTTTATAGCCAGAAAAACAGGCTAGTGAAGAAGAAATTGGCAAGATGTGCCCCTTCTCCTTCGTTTTTTAAATGAGGGCAGTGGAACGCTTCGAGTGTGATCGGCCAACTGGTGGCGATTCTCACTAACGGGGTGGCGAAATGGGTTGCGAACATGCCAGCCAAGAGGCCACCAAAACCAGCCTGTGTGTCTCCTCTGGGCACACACAGCGCAGGCTGCCAGCTTTTCCTCTGGAACAGGGAGCTTTCTGCCAACCCAAACCAGCCGTCCCCTGGGTCCCAGCTCCGCTTCAAACTCAGTCTCTTGCATCCAGAACCAGCAAGGGGCCTCCGATTGGTGGCAGCCATTTCAAAGTCTGGTACTTGGCCCCAGCTTCTCATCAGACTGGCAGGCTCCCTCCCAGCAACCCCTAGTGCCGTTCCCCAAACTTTAAGGCTACCATTTAAGCCCCGTTTCCTGCCTAAAACTATTTATTGACGTATTGCTATTTCCTGCACTGGCCACATCAATAAGCCCTGAAAGCCATTCAG